TTCGCATTGGCTTGCCAGCACTCAAATGCTCTTTAGACATAGACAAAGGGATAGCAACAAAAAGACAGAAAATAATAGAATAGAGACATGGAGATAGAGGATGACGTAAATTGAAAGAAGGGTAGGTAGGCGTGGCAGTGGTTGTTGCCCAGGCGAAATCAAATTAGTACCGTAGTAAATTTCAATGTGAAATTTGCACAAATTGCCTTTTGTCATAGCAGCAAGGCTGGCTAATTTACCATGGACTTTGAAAGCAGGATAAATACACTTTAGAGAAATATTTCAAAAAATGCCAAAACAGATTTAGTATATATAGAATTGCAGCAAAGACTTTTACTTTACTGATTAAATATATATGTATAATTAATTAGGTCTATATTGGAGCAATATTAATATAAAAACTTTTTCTTAGCTGCATCCTAATCTATTAACTAACTTTTATGATGTCAAATTGACATTTAATTTATATGAATAATATTCAAATTAATATATTTTTTAAATTATAAATAGGTAAATACAAAATAATAATAATTGCGCTCATTATGCTAAATCCAAGGAATCATTTTGCTATATATATTCTAGCTTATGAAAAATGTGCTGAAAAATAATTATAAATGTATTTATAAATATTTGATTATTTTATACAAAGCAAGAAAGAGTATCTGCTTTGTCGCATAATAAACTAGATCAAGTAGCCATAGTTTTCTAGTTTTTCTTATAATATATTCCAAAACTATTTGGTATCTGGATATTGCCATGGCTTTTGCTTTTACTCTACGCTTTAACCAAGTGCAACCCTGACCTGGGAAGGCACTTTCCAACTCCATTTTAAAGGCCATGCACTGGGACTCTTTAATTTTGTGCGGGTCCTTTGGCAGGCATTGCCAAGTGCTGCTTTCAAAGTTGACTTTGAACACTTTTACGTTTCGCTGATTTTTCAAGAGTTGCACTTTTTTCTGCCTTTTGCCAGCCTGCTTTGGCATACGAGTTGCCATCTTGTGTGTGTGTGTGTGTGATTTCTTGCCCCCATTCGAGAACGGAGCTAGCTTTTTCCCATTTCTTCTTCACTCATTAGAAAAACGTTACGAAAGTGGTAAAAAATTGCACTACGTGTTGCGAAGGGGACTTTTCTCCACGAAAATAAAAACTGCATGTAAAGTTTGCTCCAAAGTAGCAAAAAAATGTGAAAAAGGAAATATAAAAGGCAAAGCTGAGCAAAAAGTTTATTACAAACTTCGTGGAGTGAAACACGCGCCAAAGAGGGAAAACGAAAACTAAGTAAAAGTTTAATATTTGATTTAAAAGTTGATCAAATTTACTTTACTCCACACTCAAACTTGGCGCTCTGCGTGCTATTTGTTTTTATTGAATTTATTTGAATGTTTCTTGCAGCATGGCCGCAGCTCCCGCTCCACTCCTATGGACGAGAGGAATGGCTTGGTTTGTGTCTCGGCTAACGCGTTGATTTTTCATTTCGTCGTGCAAATATGAAAAACAAACTGAACACCGAGCGCAACAATGGGCTCACAGCATAAAAACAAGAGCAGAAGCAGAAACCGAGGCAGAAGCTGAAGCAATAGCAAAAGGAAAAAACTGCATCACGAAAATGGGAAAATTTTCCAAATGCCTTTGTTTGTTTGCGCTGAAATGGAAAACGCGGCCAACTGCAGCAGCAGGAAAATCATTCGCCATTGTTTATAAGCCCGGCTAAAGGCTATGCAAGAGAGCATACTAATTTGGATATGAAGCATGCCCGAGCAGCAGGCGTCACAAAACATAAAAGCAAAGTTCAGACCTCAGACGGTTGACTGCTAAGCAAAGATGAAATTGGATCGCTAGAGGAAACTGCGTAATTGAATTGAATAGAGAATGTATTTATAAGAGAATTTACTATATAAATGAAGCCTTATATGAACCTGTTTCCTTTCCTTTTATTTAAATTATTCTTGGAGGTCTTTAGATTTAATCCTTCTTTCTTGTTGGCAAAGTTTAATTCTATTTTGATTTTCGGTTTAAGTATATCTATGGATAATACTTTCCTTAGCTGATAGCACACATTCTTTGAATATAGCTTTCAGCTTGAAAATCAATTTCTTGTTTTTGAAAATGGATTGCAGTAAATAGTAAAATTTAATTTTTTTCTAGAAATAACTCAGATCGCTTATAGATTTTTGGTTGGCCCAGTTGAGTAATAGAGCATTAGTATAGTCTTCATAAAAAAAAGAACATAAACCTTTGCTTACTTTTCACTCTGAAATTTCAGCTGATATTATCGCTAGTCAGAAAAACCCCTGCAGATATTTGTAAATATTCATAGAGCCTCGGGAATTATATTTGCCCCCCCCCCACACACACACACCCGCACTCGCACGCACATTGACAGACCCACACAGATCACATGCCGTTCCAGCGCGATGAAATTTGAACAAAAACATTTCGCATGCTTCCGTCTAATTTTGGCTGCAAAATTCCTCCGCAGCTATTGCCAAATTGAGTTTGCGCTTGGAGTGGCTGCCACTGAGCCCCATTACCAGAGGGCGACTCTGGCCCATTGCGCCCACCAACGCCGCTTGCTAAAATGCAGCTCAGTGCAGTGGAGCTAACTCAATTTGGCGCCCATGTCACATACGTCAACGCGTGCCACGCCCACAAAGTGGGTCGCACTGCCAATTTGTCAGGATTTGCTGCAGCACGTGCCACATCGCACGTTTAGCTTAGCTTATCATTTTCTCAAAGCGCGACTCTGCTATTCTTTCTCTCTCTCTCGCTCTCTCTCTCACTCTCTCTCTCTCTCTGTCTGTCTCTGTCTCGCTCTCGGTCTGAGTTGCTTTCCTAGACCGGGCTATTTAATATGCAAAACGTCAGTTGCCGAAAAAACTGACAAAGTTGAAATAAATTTTTATTTCATGGACTCTGTTTGCACTCCTAAATCGGCAATGAACTTGCCGCAGAGAGAAAAAAAGAAAAGCGCCTAGAGAACAGGACGAATGAGCGGCTCACACGATATCCTGTTAAGAACTGAATCTATAGCGAGGTTTATTTATTTATCGTCGGTAAATATTAGTTCTAATAATTTTTATACATTTTGAGACATATTTCCCAACACAAATCAAAGACCTCCACCAGTATATAATTTTAGCTGCACGACTTCCGTCGAATATGAACAGAAGACAAAGCCTTGCTTTTAAAGAGCTGCCTAACGTTTATTTTTCCAACTTGATAATCTTCATTGCTACTTGATCAATTTCTGACAAACAAGGCTTTGTTTATTACCAAACTTAACTCAACTCCAATATACCCTGCTCTGCTCTGTAAATTTCGTCCCTCTGCTGGGTACAAAAATATGCCAAGGCAGCAGTCGCAGCCACAGCCATCGTCCTTTCGTCTGTGTTTGTGCTCCTAACTAGGCTCGGGGCTCATGGCTATAAGACACAAGAGAGAATCAAATACATATCTATAATAAATATACACGACATATATACATATTGATAGTGTAGTTCTGTGCGTTGTCTGTGCGACTGCTTTAAAGGCCGCTCACGTAGCAGACGAAAGAAAAACGCAACGCAATTGCAGACGAGCCGAGAAAGAAAAGCCGAAAAAAGAAAGAAATTTCGCGTTTGAACGTTAATTTAAAAACGATGCACAGGCAGCTGGAAAAGTTTTTAATTTTAATTTCATAAATGCAATGAAGTGCAGCTGCGCTCGAATCCGCAAATCCTCAGCCAAATCGAATCAGCGAGAAGCAGGTGGCGTATGCTTAGTGCGCCGGAAATCATTTACGGACGTAACGCCTAAACGAATTTCCAAACGCTCTGCATAAAGTTTGTCATACGCCACGTGGTACAAGCGGGCCAAAGAGGCGAAAACAAAAATGTGTGGCCACGGCTGTGTCTGTGCTGTGCATTTAGCGTGAACTGAGCTAGACTTAGCTATTAAAAAAAATTGAAAATATGGAACTTTCTTTCCGCTGAGAGTGTCTATTTATAAACTTACAGTTGCAATTTAGCTTCTTTGGTAGCTAAAATCTAGCTTTATTTCTGCTTCTCAAAGAGTGCCAACGCTGTTTTAACCAGTCAGTCAGTCAGTCATTCACGCAGTCATTCAGCCAGTCAGTTAGGCAGTTGTACGGCTCGAGTTGACGAATGCACGAAAAACCACGTAATGACACACACAACCAAATGTGTGGCTGCTTTTCACACACACACATACAATGCGAACATATTTTCACGTTCGGATCGCATTTACATGAATCCGCCTGAAAAACAATTAACGCATTTCCCACAAAAAAGGAGTGACTCATGCGATGTTAGCTGAAAATTCAAGCGATAGAGTTTCCCACGTGCACGAATGCTTGGAAATTTTTACCTCGCACAAAATGCGGTGGTTGAAGGTGTGTTTGGGGCAAAAGTGCAGGGGTCAAACGGGAGCGTTTTAAGTCAAAGGTGAAGGCAAAGGCAATTGCAAATAGCACAAAAACTGAGCCGACAATGAGACAGGACAAACCGTTTGGGGCCGTTTGGAATAATTTAATGAAGTCAGCCAATGATATCATGCGAATCACATCATAGAGATAGGTCTGATAAAAAAAAACTACTTTAATCTGAATGCGAAAGGTTATCTAAACTCATTATAACTTGCAATTTTGTCGATTACTTTGTTCTAGGTATTGATATCTTTAAGGTTGATATCTCTCATACAGTGAGTTCTATTCAAATTTAATTGATATTTTCAAATTTTTTTTATTGTCTATCACACATTTCTTAAATTTATAAATTCATTAATTTGTAGTATTATTATTATTGACTATGAAAAAATCAAAAATGATTCTCATGACATCCAGTCGATTATTAATCTAAATTTTAGTTTTAATTTTAGAGAGAATTTTTTTTTATAAAATGCCACCTGTCTCATTTTTATTCGTTTAAGTTTAATTAAGGAAATGGAAATTAATTTCCTAAAATATTTTATATATTATACCATATTACATTTTTGAGACTTACCATTTGTTGCTGATTCTTTGGTTTCTTGACTAGATCGGGCACCTTGAAGCTGGTTACGGCCTCGATGACCTCGGCGAGGAGCAGGCCATCCCGACAGTCGGCCGAGAGATCTGTGACCTTCCGCTTCGACTTGGCACGCTCCAGATAGTAGTTCGCCCAGTCCGTGTAGATCTGCAATCGAATTAAAGTGAAGTCGAGGGCATTAAAAACGGCTTTCCAAAGATTGGACAACATTCTGCATGGCCATTGGCTGCAGCAATTAGGAATTTCAGCAATACTTTTCGCCAGCTGCAGCCAGTGCAAGGCATTCATTGGGCTGCACTGCACTCCTCGGTCTGGGCTATCAGGAAATCATTAGCAGCATAATCTCTCAGCCAGACACCATATGCCCAGAATACAAACATTTTTGACAGCCTGCAGTTGGCTATGCAAACAAATTAAACTCCGGCCATTTAGTGGCTGAAAGTATCCTTCGAAGCGAAAGTCGTTAAGGAAATCTGTGCGACAGATTTTTGCTAACCATCTGTCCGTGTTTGTATTTGTGTATGTGTGTGTGTGTATGCATAGTTATGTATGTATGTACGAGTGCCTGTATGCATATTATACAGTTCTATAGTGTAATTATAACGACAAGACTTTTGTGATTTGATAGGAGTGTGAGTGTGTGCTTAAAAGGATATGTTACGATACTTCAGCTCATGCAAGGCATGATGGTTTGGTTTAATATGAAAGATCAATATACCCTGTAGTTAGTGACTGATGCATGGTACATTGGTAGCTAAGGGAAACTGTAATACTCGAGAATAAAATCTCTGTTTGTCATAAATTTACTCGATATAGTCATCTCTGATAGGTGCGATAAATGCGAGTTAGATAAACTTGCCTGAATTATTGATATTTTTATATATTTCAATATGGTAAAAGTACTTAATTAGTTTTATAGGTGCAGAACATATAATTTTTAAATGGAATAAACTGTACCGATAAGGAAATGCGTTCGCCACAGATTTTTGTATAGACATATAAGACGAATATCTTAATAAAATAAATCAACGAAGAATATTACTTTTTCGATTAAAGCACAAGGTATCCTTAATTAAGGCATTCACTTTGCCCAGAAAAAAATTGAGATGTATCAAAATCGGTAGATCCTCGCCATAGATTGTTAGAAACGATTTTTAGTATATCGTATAGACTAGATGGGTCAATTTTCTGATTTTGTGAAGGTAAACAGGCAGGCCCTTTAACTATTTGCTAGCCAAGCTTTTCCCTCTTAAAATATTCTCTCTTCGTTTCTCTATCTTTGCAAGTTGAATTATTTAAATTATTTAAAAAATATCCAGATATTAAATTTGAGCAGACATACTTGGAATATGTTTTGTTCTTTATATTCGTAATATATTTGGTTCTTTAAATTCGTTATATCCCTAAATTCCTTATATATATATATATATTAATGTACCCATGATTTAATGCGTACTGCGAGCAAGCCGAATTAAATTATTATTGTTTTTGTTCTGCCACAAAGTAGGAAAGTTGCTTCAGTTACTGTTTGCTCGACATTGCATTTGGGGTCTGTCGCACTGTTGCTCCTGGGTAGAGCTCTTGCCGTTTGTGCACGTCGTTAGCCGCATCCTTGCGTAGTTTTTATTATAGCTCATCCTGCTAATTCTGTAGCATTGCCATTTTCCCTTTGCCAGCTTCCAGCTCTGTTCTCCATATGCATGCGACACATTTTATGTGCGCCTTGCTTGGCAATAAAAATAGCTGGCATTGTACTTTGCGTTTGGCCCGTCTGTTTGTCTATCTTTTCCTTCTTTCCGTACGACCGTACGACCGTGCGTCCGTTTGCCCATTCGCCCGTTCGTCTAGCTCTCTATTTTACGCCCAAGTTACGAGTGAGCTTTGCAGTTGCCGCGGAGGATGGAGTATATACTACTTATCAAAGGCCGGGCCTAGACTTTGGCTTGTGCATTTTTTCCTCTCTGTGTGTGTTCAGTTGTTGGCTGCAAAGGTTTTAGGCTCGGGCCTGGACTTTGGATTTGGCTTTGACTTTGGACAAAATAAAGTGAAAACTTTCCACTGCAAAATAACTGAGCAAATGCAATCGCACTGCCAGTGGCAATGGCATTCGCAATGGCAATGGCAATGGCAATGACAATGACAATGCGAGCTGTAACTGTCGCTGTCAGTGGCATTGGCTCCGGTTGCTGTTGCTGTTTCCATTTCTATGTGTGGGTCTGTTTCTGTTACTGTTTCTGGTTTTAACAACTGGCAAAAAGCCGGCTAAGCCAATGCCGCAAATATGCTGCCTGGGGTCTAACCGAATGAATGAAGGTTCACCCACAATAAATACGGCAGAGCAATCGACTGCTTGTGTGCTCGGCTCGGTCTCGTTCCCGTTCCCCGTTCTCCTTCACGTTCTGGTCCAGCTTTGTTTTTCCTCCTGCCTTGACAGTAGCCAAACAACAATAAACTGATGCAGTTGTCTTGTCTTTATAGAGCTAGCTACCAGCTGCCCAGACATACATACATATATGTATATATATAGTGCGTGTGACCACCTCTCTCTCTCTCTCTGTTGGTCTCTCTCTCTCTCTCCACATACACTTTATGACAGCCACTATCAAAGGCAAAATGTAACTAAAATTCAGTTAGTTCTGCAAAGCGTAAAGTGCATGCCGTCTAACAGTGTTAAACAATTTCCATTGACTAATCAATTTTACAGCTATTAATTTGCTCTCTTCTTCTTCATCTCCTCCATCTCTGTGCCATACACACCTTTGCATAGTCGCTCGTCAATATGCCGTTGATGTTATCGCAGGAGCCCTGGTAACTAACGCACCGACCCAACATCCTTGTTCCAGGATGTCAATGAAATGCAACTTGCAAATTTGCAATTTGATGAGAGAATTTAAAAGTTTTTTGCTGCTTTTTAATTGATTCACATTTTAATTTTCATTTTTTACTAATGTATATTTTCTTGCAATAAA